AACCTGGGAGAGGCTTACTTAAAGGATCATGGGACTTCGAAAGTAGGTTATAACCGGGGATATAAGTCCCCTAAGTGGGGTTATCCTAATTATAAGCTACTTATAACCCTACTTACTAAGTCCCATGATCCTTTAAGTAGGGATTTTAGGGCTCAGGGGATTTTCGGGTTCTATAACAAAAGCTGACAGAGCCCTACAGAACGTATTGAAGACAAGCTATACCTCCTTCAAACCCCTGGACCTCAATACAGCAAGCTCCATGTTGTCCTGTGAAACTAAAAACCCCATGAATAACTCATAAAGGGCCTATAAGCACCCTTGTTAAAGAATCCTCTAAACGCCCAGTACAAACCGTTAAACCCCACAGCAACAACGTATTCAGACATCGCATTTACAGCATTAACAGAACCGTATCTCACTTGTGAAGAAAAACCTCACAAACACCATAAACGCCGGCAAAAGTCAAACACAACGTATAACCTCCGTAGCATCCCTGTAGCCTACAGCAAAACCAGAATACAAAAAGACACAACCTTGTAAACATAGACAGACAGCTACCCTATAACAGACTGCAAGCCTCCAGTAAACCCTGAAACCCTAAACCGAGAAACCCTACACCCGAAACCCTAAAACCATACACCTTAAACCTTAAACCCTGATCAAATCGTAAACTCCAAACACTAAACCCTAAGCTCTAAACCCTCAAAGCCCTATCCAAAGGCCCCAAAGTAGTTCCCTTTTTCGTGTTCATATATAGAATATTGTAGAACTCTATAGGGTAATCCCAAAAAGGAACTACTATGGGGCCTCTGGGTAAACCCCCCAAAAGCCTTTAAACACCCCAACTAAATCGTAAACCTTAAACCCCCAAAAGCCCTAAACCCTCAAAGCCCTAAACCCTCAAAGCCCTAAACCCTAAATCTTAAACCCTAAGCGGCCCTAACCCCATAAACCCCCCAAAACCTAGAATCCTAAAAAGGAACTACTATGGGGCCTCTGGGTAGACCCCCCCAAAGCCCCCTTTAAAAGGCGCGTTCCAAGGAGCCCAGGGCTCCCAGGCACCAGCCGCGACGCCCGGACCACGCGTTGGCTCGAGCCATAGCTTTTTTGCCCGGGAAGCTCCGGTGCTTTTGGTGGGCTTTAGGGCTTCAGGGTTTAGTGGTATTTTGAAGGTTGTAGCTTTTTTGGGGGAGCTCCGGTGCTTTGAGGGGCTTTAGGGCTTTTGGGGTTTTAAGGGTTTGGAGCTCCGGTGCAATTTAGGGGCTTTAGGGTTTTAGGGTTCAGGGTTTAGGGGTATTTGGTTTAGGGTTTTAGGGGTTTTAGGGTTTTGGGGTTTTGGGGTTTTAAGGGTTTAGAGCTCCGGTGCTTCGAGGGTTCCAGGAGAGCTTTAAAGCTTTAGGGGTTTAAGGTTTAGGGGTTTGGAGTTCAGGGTAGTGGTATCGGAATGGTCAGTTTAGGGTTCCAGGAGGGTTAGGTTAAGGGTTTAGAGGTATTTTGAAGGTTCCAGAAGGGCTGGGTTTAGGGTTGTAGCTTTTTGGGGGAAGCTCCGGTGCTTTGAGTGTTCCGGTGCTTTAGGGTTTAGGGGTTTAGAGTCCCCCGGTGCTTTGGGGGTTCCAGGACGGTGAGGTTAAGGGTTCGGGGCTTTATAGGGTATTTTGAGGGTTCCGGTGCTTTTGCGGGGCACCTTGGGGTCATTTGGGGTTGGGGTGCTTTGAGGGAAACCTGAGCCCAAGACCTGGAGCTAGAGCTGGGGGCTCTTGGGCGTTTTTCGTGGCTCCGGGTTTGGGGTTTAGGGCCGGGTTCGAGCGAAAGGCACCTCCGAAAGTACCGAGAAATTACGGTAGAGTTACCAAGGTGCCCGGCCTTCTGCTGCTGGCTTCCGGGGCTAAAGAGAACCCTTCTGTTCTGCAGCCTTTCCCTTTCGGGGCCGGGCACCCGTTAGCCTTTGGATTTATGGTAGGATTGTATAGAACCTAAAAGTAAACCTTGTAATAGTAATAGAACTGATCCCAACGACAACATGATTACTGGGAAAGAATGCCCACATACATACACAAATACACATGTACCTGCATGCATGCATACATATACATATACACGTCTGTTCATTTGTGCTTCATGTTGAATCTGACCATTTACGCATGCGGAGGTCATGATTTGCGGATGCAAGCTGAAAGCTTCTTTGAGCCCCGAACTGTAGAAACCTTCACGACAGTTGCCAGAGTCTCGGATGTGGTGCGGCCGACTTCGGCAAGGCAAAGTGGGCATCAGAGATCACCGAAGCGCCACTGGAAAACGAAAATCAATCCGGAAGAGGCCCGAAACCCTAAACCCTAGTAACCCTACGGAGCCATCTCCTCCGAGCCTGCTTTCGGATGAAAGACGACCGTGGAGCCACCGGCGCGGCAGCACGGAAACGGAACTGAGTGAAACATCTATGGAATCGATGGTCCCCATACTGTGGTGTTCTGTCGAAACCGGACCCAGATCTGGTGCGGGATCCCGGCTTGAGGGGTTGTGAACTGCCTTGAGCATTGCACCCTAATTCAGAGCAATAGAAACCCGGCCAGGACTGCTAGGCTACCGGCCAGTGTGGCACCGACGCCCTTGCAGGTATCGCGATACGGTGGCGAGAGGCTGGTCGTACAGCCCCGTTCGTTGCACTCGATGGTTGTCAGGCCCATCGACACGTCAATCTCAAGAGCTTCGACTAAGGCTGACGAAAAGGGCAGCGCATCGTGGCAATGCAATCTCACCCGATTCACGGCCCACTGGTTCCCGGTGCCTCCCTGATGCAGTTTCAGCTGTGTGACCCGCTGATTGCTGCCAAGGTCGATAGTCAGTAGCTCGCCATCCTTCTTCGAGTCATTCCAGCAGCTGCAGCTCATTCCGACGTCGTGATCGCCTGCCCAGAACGAACTCGTATCCCCATCCACCGCGTTGCTGGGAGCATAGCCGCCGGTAACTGAGGAGGACGCAGACAAGGCAAGCTGACCGCTGCTGGTGAAGGCCTCGATCTCATACAAATCCCAGCTATCGAAACAGGACGTAGAAGAGATTCCTCCAGCAGCCCCTATGGAGAGGTAGCGATGTCCACGGAAAGGGTTGCAGACGACGGCAGTTGGCGAGGTGCCATCACCACCCGAGGGCAGAACATGCCATGTGCCGAGGAGGATCCGCAGAAAGAGCATCAAGGGGGCCTATAGCCAAGTAGTACCCGAGTACCGAGCTCCTGCAGGGTTCGGTGCTGCCCATAGTTACTACCAGAGGCCCCATAATAGTTCCTTTTTGGGATTACCCTATAGGATTCTATATATGAACCCCAAAAAGGAACTACTTTGGGGACCTTTGGGTATACTTGTAGTTGTCCTTCCTTGGGACGAGAGAACATGCAACAATCTTAACATCAGAGCTTTGAGCCGCAGCGGCTGCCGTCATTCTTAAACAGGGCCCCCCAAAAAAGCACATAAGCAAAAATTAGTGTAGGGATGTCCCACATAGACCTCCTTATAATGAAGCCCAATAAGGTAGGGATATCCCGGATATCCCTATAAAATGCTTATGCTTATGTGCTTTTGGGGTCCCTAATTAAAGGCCTTTTCGGAGAGCTGATCCTCAGACCCGTACAGCGGCGCCTACTTAAAGGATCATGGGACTTCGAAAGTAGGTTATAACCGGGGATTTATAAGTCCCCTAAGTGGGGTTATCCTAATTATAAGCTACTTATAACCCTACTTACTAAGTCCCACGATCCTTTAAGTACCGCAGAACCAGAAGGGCTGCGAGCGGTTTGGGGCTGCCAAGCAAAGACTGCCGAAATGACTGCCAATCCTGCAAGATTTGGGAGTTCGGAAAATAGGGGACCCTCTTGTCGTACCCTTAATAGTAGGATCCCTACTATAATGGACCCCAAAATAGGGTACCCCTAATTTCTGGAAACTCCCATTTGTTGTTTCTTGCTCTGGCTCGGCTAACCCTTCGGCGCAACCTCGGCAAGCATTTTCCCCCCTGCATCTGCAGCTGGAGTTACTCGACGAAGGCTCTGTGCGTTGAAGCTCGTCGATGACTGCGCGGCATCGTTTAACAAAAGCCTCGCCTCATTGCAGCAGTTGGTGACGGGATGATTTGGCGGTGTCGCCGGAGCCTGTACAAACTTCGCCAGCATCCGTCATCACGGGGTTGACTAAAGCTGCAGCGCCCGAACGAAAACACTCAGGTGTCCCACTGGGAGACCTGAATGGCAGTGTCTTGGGCCTCATTTTACCTTTGGTTAGTAGGGAATGGAAGTATGGTAGTAATAGTTATAATTGTACCCCATTCCTGCATTCCCTACTAAGCAAAGGTATGGCACACACTTCTCGGGCTTGTAGGGAACCCAAAACACCAAAACTAAGGGCACCTAGGAGTCCCTACGATCAGGAACACGTAGATGGCGGTGACGAGCCCGTGATCTGTGTCGAGGGCAAACACCGTAAAGCCACGGTTAGAAGGACTTCATAGAATCCGCCCCGTAAAGCCTCCAAACCTTATACAACCCAAAGCTCTCAAGACGAAAATCCCGAAGCCAAACAGAAGCCTTCACGGGAAGCCTGGAAAGGCCCAAACTCGAAACACTAAACGGTTCTAGGGCATCTAGGAATCCCATACCGACCCACCGAACCGTCCCAACTGGGGACCTTCTTTAGAGTCTGTTAGAGTTCTTGTCAAGGAAAGGCTCAGGTGCCCCGAATTCCGATGCATGTAGCACCCTCAACCCCAAAGCACAAATCCCTGAACCCTAAACCCTTAAATCCTAAATCCCTAAACCCCTCAAACCCTAAATCCCAAAACCCCTCAAAACCTAACCTAAACCCCTCAAACCCTAAATCCCTAAACCCCTATAATCCTACATCCCTAAACCCTAAACTCCTAAATCCCTAAACTCCTACCTCCCTAAACCCCTACAGCATGAAACCGCACGAGAACCCCGAGCCTGGTCTCGGGGCTGACAGCCAGGGAGTTCAATCTGCGCCCAGGACCTGCCAGGACCCTGCTTGTCCCCTCAAATAGGGGTACTATTAAGGTCCTAAATATATCTATATTATTTGAATAGAATACTATTCAACTATTAGGGGTATATGGTCCCAAATAAGGGGCATTTAGGGTCTATAGAAGGGTAGATGGAGGGTCTGGGTGCAGAGCATGTCAGATAGGGGTTTTAAGAATTAGAATAGGGCTCCTTTTCAAAGGGGTCTATAAGGGGATCTCACAAGGGGTCTATCAGGGTACTGTAATATAGTATAGGGCCTTCATAGAATCAGAGTTTTCTTGGGTGATAAGGAACCTACCAAAATAGTCTTTCTAAGGATAAAAGGAGGGACCCTTAATAAGGACCCCTAGGTATATACCCTTAATATAGCGATTATATACCCGTTATACAGCCCATTATAGGGTAGGGGTCCCCATTAAGGGTCCCTCCTTTTCCTTTTTGAGTGTTGGTAATGATTAAAGCCCCTTTTGCACTTCTTTGGAGTCTAGGCTTTAAGGCTTCAGTGTCTCCAGGTCTGAAGGTTTACAGCTGTCCGGGAGCCTTCCCAAGTATGCTTCACTACTTCATCGCAACACACTGCGCCGTACGATCATGTACGATGGAAGTGCGACTGGGGGCCAGCTGATGACAAGGCTCCCCTCGCAAAGAAAAGCTCCGGGCAAGCAAGAACACCCAGTCGAAGGCGCCGGGACATCGAAGATCTCCGGGTTGGTGCGATGCTTGCCATGTCACTTTTGCCTACCTCTGTCCTTCAGTGGCCAGCATTACTATGCTTATCACTCTGCGTGGCATCTCGATACACTGCACCCTCAAGCCTCGAAGGCATGTTAGAACATGCGGGCGAACAGCCTGCCGAGCAAACTCCCTTTGGGCTGAAAGGATACTCCGGGAATGTTTACAATCGTATCCCCGTAGCTATTGAGCTTGCAAACGCCATCCCACTCAACCAAATTCCTCCCTTTGGCTTGCCTGCAGGAGTGTATCCCACGTCTCTTTCGGGACGATGGTTCTGGTTTCGAAGCACTCCTCGTGAACTTCGCAGCTTTTGGGTGCGGGTGGGGAAGCGGACTGGGATAAGGCTTCCTAAACTGAGTTCGAACACGTAGGGTTTGAGGTTCATAGTTTAGATGAGCTTTTCTAGCTGAGTGGGTACCCCACGCTTCTGCAGCTTTGCAAGGGGGGGCGCTCGTTGCATCGATACGGGAATCCTAAACCCTGAATGTTATAATGATTGGAATAAGAATACCGCAGGGTTCCATGGGGTCTGATTCGGGTTTCTACACAGGTTGTATGAAGTGCTGTAGGCAAGGTTTATTGCGGGGGCCTTAAACCAAAGGGGGACGATAAGCGGATGTCATTCCGAATTTCTCATGTCCCATAAAAACTCCACGCAACTTTATCAAACAAAGCGTTCCTGCTGTGCGATCAGCAGGGCGGCTTCTTCCGACCAAGACCCAAAAGCCTAGGCGGCTACCTTGATCATGCTTTCATGCTAAACCGGATCTTCTGTAGGAGTGCGGCCTACATTGTCAAGTTTGCGTGCTAGCTCAATCAGGATACTGAGAAGAATTTTACAGTATGTGATAGTATCATGTAGTATGAAATTGATCTAATGTAATACAATACACTAGAATCTAAAATGTAATATCATGTAAAGCAACCCCAAACTCGAAAGCTCGGTCAAGGAGCAGGAACGGTCTTGGCAGCGGCCTCTTCAGCAAGAGCTCTTGGGACTCTGCCTTTGCACCTCAGCTAAAAAGGCTGTTTCACGGTGCAGGACTTAGGGGCTACAGGGTGTACCTGAACCCTGAATAACATACCTTTTCGGGTTCCTTATTATGATTTCTTTATACAAGTCCTTAAAAATGTAGGTTCTTCGGGGTTAAGGTAGGGGTTAAGGGCCTCGGCTTCACTGTACGGCCTGGGGTCTCGGCTCAAGGATCCTAACCGCCTTAAGCTCAATGCAACATCTTGGAAACACTTCAACCGCGAGCTTTCCAAGACAGAGCCAGGAGCCTTGAAGGGATTTTGGGTTCGTGGGTTTAGGGTTCATGGGTTTAGGGTTTAGGGTTCATGGGTTTAGATTTTAGGGTTTAGGGTTCATGGGTTTAGGGGTTTAGGGTTCATGGGTTTAGGGTTTAGGTTTGAAAGTTCAGGGCCCTACTCCTAAGAATCATATACTATAAACAGACTGCAACTCACACCTCAAAGAGTCTCAAAACTATAGTTCATGGTCGGGATAGGATTAAACATGTACATTTTGTTCCTTATCGGGGTTAAGTATCCATAAAAATGTAAAAGGTTACCCAACCCTATGGATCCCTTTTAAGGAACCCTATAGATCCCTTTAAAAGAACCCTAAAGATCCCTTAACATGTTACCCAACTATGACAAAAGAATACCCCGCACTTTCGGCGCTAGTGGCTTGGCCGCAGCATCGGCGCCGGCCTCGGGCCAAACGTGTCGGAAACCAGTACAGTATCTCCTACTTGTCGGGTTTAGGGTTTAGGGTTTAGGGTGAGATTTGAATACCTACTTGTCGGGTATCATGGGGAACCAAAGGTTAACCTTTTTGGTTTTATAGGGATTATATAGGGACGATACTGCCCAAAAAATTCGACTACTAGGATCTCATGTTTGGTGAGCTTCGGTTTAGGGGAATAGGTTGCTTGTTTAGGGTTTTTGGGTTATGGGCTTCTGGCTCTGGGTTTAGTTATTCTTCAGTCGTGCTCTGCATTGTCGTTCTTGCGCTGAAAAATATGTTGTTGGCTCTGTGGTTTGTTTTATCGCTCTTCTGAGTTCCAAATGTGCTTCCTTTTTCTCCTTCTTGTTCGCGCGTTTTGTTGTGGACCCGCCCCAAGGCTCGTAACAACAACTCTATCAAAGGGCAAGACCCACCCAAGCTCCAGGGGCCCGCACCTTAATGAGAAGCTTTGCCATCTCCAGCTTGCCCTCTCGGGCGGCAAAGTGCCTAAGGAGCTTTTTGGGCTCATTCCCAGATGCAAGCAGTAAGACCCTTATCACAAGGGCCCGAATATACAAACTCTATCTATCTATATATATATATATATATATAGAAAACCAGCAAGACCCTTTATCACAAGGACTGCAATATACAGACTCTATATATGAACACTAAGATCCTTAGTTTGAGTAAACGTTTGGCCGGGTTATAGGGTGCGGGCTTCAGGAACCACTGGGCTTAAGGGTACTTGGAGGCTCAGGGGTAGTTACTATAAGTAGGGTTATCAGTAGGGTAACGCTACTTATAACCCATATTAGGGGAATACTATAACCCCACTTATAACTACCCGTGAACCTCCAAGTAATCTCCAAACCCTATACCCTTACAGAATCCCTATGGATCCCTTTAAAGGGGCCCTTAAAGGAACCCTTATAACTACCCATGAACCTGCAAGTAGCGGCCTGGAGCACCAGAGCAGTCTTCTGAGGTACACACCAGAGTGCCTTGAGAAGGTTTCGGGTTTACCTTAACCCCGAAGAACCTACATTTTTAAGGACTTGTATAAAGAAATCATAATAAGGAACCCTAAAAAGGTAGGTTATTCAGGGTTAAGGTAAGGTTTAGGGTACGAAAATGGGATGCTATTCCTAATGGTTTCGACCCCCCACATTATTCCTCATGGTCCCCAGTAGAAGTCTGGGATAATTTAACAGTATCCATCAAAGCCGTACTCTAATGCTTAAGGCCTGTACAATGCATTAGGAATCTTATTCCTCAGTCCTCATACTCCGAATCAGAAGCGTCGTCTTCAATAACATCCCCCACCTAAAGCCCTATTCTAACTATTAAGGTCCCTAACAACGAAAAACATTCTACTGTAGGGACCTGAACAATTAGCAATCCTGTTTCGGGGGGTTCCTTATAATGGGCCCCAAAACCCTACTTTAATTCTAGATAGTAAGGCCCCCATACAGTAACCATTACGGTCCCTAATATAAATTGGGCGTCCTGGGTGCAAAGGAGTCATTTCCTCGCCGTTCGCTTTGCAGACATCGGCCCGCATTTTTATGAGGATGTCCAGAACCTTCGCACGCGTAATGGCGCTTTAGGAGTTAGAATAGGGTGCCTTTAGAGGGGTCCTTTGAAGGGCTGGATCTGTGAGGGTGCTGTAAAGTGGGCGCCCGAATGGTTAGAATGGGGTCTTGGGGTGGATGCAGGCGAGGCGAAAGCCTGTCGACGGAGAGCGAAACGAAGCACGACGTTTGCATCCTCAGAGACTGTGTATACAAGTGTAGAGAATGAATGAATCTATAACTTGCTGCAAGTAGATTGCGGGAGTCGGAGCTCGTAACTCTGGGATCAGGAGTCCAAAAGCTGTAATTACATGGAAGTCTTTCGGTTTAGGGCATTTGCGTGTCAGCTTGCGCCCTTCACAAGAGAAGCTTATTAGCACATTGCACGAAGCACATCTTTCAGTCTGTGCCCAAGTTGGCTCAAGCATGTGGGTGCAGCAATTATTCTCGAGAATTTGGTTAGCTTTGAACCTTTCGGGGTTTTGGGGTATGATATACTATACTTATAATAAGGAGCCCCCAAAATGTAATAGTATGGGTAATTAGTTAGGCCCCTATGATAACGGTTAGGGGAGGGTTTTGGGCTAGTTACAAGAAGGGTATAGGAGGAAGGTAACTATACTCATGAACCATCTTAGGGGACTTTTTAACCCGACTTATAACTACCCATGAACCTCCAAGTATCTCGGTATTGGGAATCCGGGTCTCACGCTGTCAGGATTTGGTGGTCGGCTATTCAGTTTTCCGGGTTTTGCCGTTGAGGGGTGACAGGCTGTTCGCATTGTTAGATTTAAAGCTTTCTTTTGGCTACCCGGTTCGGGGGTCTCCACCGCGGCGAGTTGCTTGAAGGTCCAAAGAAACCGAAGAGCTGAAAGTGACGAGCCGCAATCCACCAAAAACACACTGCAAGGTCTCAAGCCCTGCAACGCCGAACGGTAGCGCCCAATTCCCGAGACATGTGCATCTCCCAGATACCTCGCTCCATACTCATCCCTTTCCCCAACCCGGTGAATCTTTCCAACTCGGCAGCTTGAGAAAATCACCTTATCACAGGATCCTCACGACCTCACCCCTCAGTTTCTTACAACCCACGTCTCCGCTGATGGGTTTTTCATCCCGAGAGGCCCCCCGTGGATTTTGGAAGCGCCTTGAGCCCATTGACCCATGCAGAGTGGACTTTAATAATTTACAGCTTTCACACCCTTGCGGATCTAGGAATTTGCGGGGTAGGGTTTCCGGAGGCTCAAACCGATGGGACGATTAGGAATACGGCGGCTGCCTCCGTGTGGTCGTTCTGGACAGCCGCAGAAACCGCGGTCGCTCCGTGCTTGGGAGTTGAGTTGATGCAGGCGCCGCTGGAGCGGAGGCGGTGAATGACATCGGCATGGCCTCTCAGCACTATCAGGACTGTGTCGACTTGTTATCAGCAGTTGTATGCTAGTAGCAGCCGGCAGACCCACAGAAGAATCGTAACACTGCAGCTGGAATCGTGCAGTCGTCCTGGGAACAGTAGTTGCAGTAGCAGTACTAGTACTGGTCGTAGGTGGCCCGGAGAGACGTCTACTTACCGAAAAGCCCCGCCCACGCACTCCCGCCTTTCAATGATGCGATGTAAAAGGGCGTCGCGCCGCTCTTCAGCGGCTTGTTTACGTCCGCCGGACCTCGGCTTCTACTGAAAGTCCCGAAACACCTAGGACCTAGGTGGTTGTCAACGTTATGGTCCCTTTTTGGGTACCCGAAATATTAGGTGCCGTACTCTATCAGGCACCCAAACAGGGACCATAATTGTGACAACTACCCACCAAGAGCTCCGAGACCTCCTGGAAACCCTCGAGACCTGCACCCTAGAATCTAGCATCCCTTGTCTCTTAAGATCTACGTTTTTCTTCGAGGGATCTTGGGAAAATATCTCTTCCATAACAGGGATAAGATGGATCCTTCGACTAAAAGGGATATATTGGCCATTGCAGCTAAGCGCCAGGCACGCCCTGCAAGCCAAAATCCCAAGGTTGAATCCGAAAAAGCTTACCCAGAGAGCCCAATACCCCTTAATTAAGGAATATGTGGCTTAAATTATATATATATAATAGGGCTTCACATTATGATTGAAGCTCTATATTCCTTAATTAAGGGGTATATTGGGCTCTCTGGGTACATCCTTCTTCGGCCCCTTGGCCACTGCTTCAAAAAACCACCCATCCCGAAGTCTTTCCAGCCCGGAGCCCTAAACTAAACCACCCCTAAACTCCAAGGAACCCTATAAAAAGGTCCTGAACCACCCCAAAAACTCTAATGAACTCGATCACCCCCCTTGTAAACCCAAAAGAGGTCCTGAAGACTAAAAACCCCAAAGGCCCCCTAAAGGCCCCCCTGAAGGCCCCCAACCTTGGAGGAATGGGGTACACTTATGACTACTACTGTTGATGATATGAATCCTGCATTACCCATAATAAGGAATGTACCATAATTCCCATAGTTTAGGGTCCTTAAGGTCATGCAGGATTTATATCATCAACCGTATTACTACCATTCTTCCATTCCCTACTAACCAAAGGTAAGGATCCCTGTAAAACCCTGAACCCCTATAGATCCCTTTAAAGGAACCCTATAGCTCCCTTTAAAGGAGCCCTATTCCCTACTAACCAAACGTAAGCCAACCCTGAATTCGCGCAGGAAGCCGGGGCCGCTCAGGAGGAGCTCCACGATGGCGGTGTGGCCTTTCCTGGACTTTGAAGCCGAAAACGGGGAGAAAAGAAGTGGAGGGCTTCTCTTTCATAATGCCGCCCCTACGGAACAAGTCAAAAAAAAAGGGTAGACAAAAAGGTATAAGTTTTTATTTCATCATGGCATCTAAGACCCTAAACTGCCCTAAACCCCGCCTACCCTAAACCCGAAAGAAAGCCTTGAAGTACCCAGAGAGCCCAATAGGGCTTCATTTTATGATTGAAGCTATATTCCTTAATTAAGGGGTATTGGGCTCTCTGGGTGCTTTAAGGAATACCCAGAGGCCCCATAGTAGTTCCTTTTTGGGATTACCTTAAAGGATTCTATATACGGACCCCAAAAAGGAACTACTTTATGTTGCTCCTGAGCCCCAGTTTCTGAGAGGCGATGAAGAGAGGCGTGGCCTGGGCCACACTTTCGGTTTCGGAAGGAAGTTCTGGGATTTAGTGTTTCGGAGTTGGGTTTAGAGTTTGGGGTTTGGGGTTTAGGGTTTAGGATGAAAGTTTCGGAGTTGGTGTAATTTTTTGTGTTTGGAGTTGGGAGTGGGGGTGGGGTTCTCGGAAACTGCATTTTGGGGCATTGGATTTGGGCTTACTTTGCTTTGGGCTTGGGGTGTTTTGCTTGTGGGGTTTAGGGTTCGGGACTGCCTTGTGTTTATGTTTATGATATCCCCATGTAAGGCTCGATCCTTGTTTTGCAAAACACCTACATGGAAGGGTTTCGTAAAACCCAATGAAAAACTCGACCCTTATGATACCTTATCATCCCAACCTTATCAACAAGCTTTCCTGGTTGATTTAGGAACGTGCTTGCAGGCCTTTAGGGTTTGGACTCAGCAGGGAATCATGACATGGATCCCTGCGATAGTCCCTTCAAGTCCATTATTGCAGTCCCTACAACCTATAACCCCCATTCCCTACTAATAGCCACGGCGTAATGGGTCACCTCCGCAACATGGCAAGATGCAGGGAAGTTGAAAGCGAGAGGAAACGCTGCGTTTCTTCACTGCCTTTGAACAATTTTAGTAAATAAAATCCTCTTAACCCCAATAAGGGACAATAGCAAATGTCCCAAAGCCCTTCCCCCCAACCCTGACGCGATACACAAGCAGGACTCAGAACTGTAACAACACCTCGCAGAGAACCTGTACGCCACACTTGATGCAACCACAGGGCCCCAGAAACAGCCCAAGGCCCTAAACCCTACCTATAGTCTCCATTGTAGTTCCTTGTTTTGGTTAACCAATTTTATGGTTAGGATCCTATAATAGAGATTTTGGTTAACCAAAAAAGGAACTACCATGGAGACTATAGGTAAACCCAAGGCTCCAGAAAGGCGATTTCGCGAGCCGAGCGACCTGGTTGCTGTTGGCTTGGTCTCTGTCCGGCTTGCGGGGCGACTCGCAAAGCAAGTATCGGACGACCTCCACGTGGCCGTTCTGGCAGGCGATGTAAAGCGGGGAGGCGCCGTCCTGCTTGGCCTGGTCTACGTCTGCCTGATGCTCGACTAACAGACGGACCACGGGCAAGAAGCCCCCCTGGCAGGCAATGAAGATGGGCGTCTCTTGGCTCTCTAAACTCTGGTTCACCTCCGCCTTTAGATCCACCAACTTCTCGACCACTTCGAAATGTCCGTTCTGGCAGGCAATGTAGAGCGGAGTGGCTCCACCCCGCTTCGCCAAGTTCAGGCCCACCTCCTCCTTTAGCGTCTCCCAAAGGACCTCCACCACTCCCAGGTGGCCGTTCTGTGCGGCCACTAGCAGCGGACTGGAGCGGTCCTCTGTGCAGCTGTACTCTGCCTTCATCTCCAACAAAAACTGCACAACATCGCGGTGGCCATTCCTAGTTCATGGTTGGGATAGGATCAAAAACTTAAATCTTTCTTCCTTATTGGGTTTAAGTACCCATAAAAAGTGTAAAATGTTACCCAACCCTATAGATCCCTTTTAAGGAACCCTATAGATCCCTTGAAAAGAACCCTAAAGATCCCTTAACATGTAAACTCTTACCCAACTAGGACGAAGATTCTGACAGGCGATGAAGAGTGGCCTGGCTTCCCCGACAGCGGGCTTGTCCAGAAGATTGCGCATGCGCTTCTCCAAGTCTCCCAAAGGCGTCGCGTCCTCACATGGGAGTTTCCGAAAATAAGGGACCCTAATATAGTACCCAAAATAGTAGGATCCTTATTATAAGGACCCCACAATAAGGCACCCCCGTGTTTTCGGAAACTCCCACATGCTCTCAAGCCGCTGCCTACCTCTCTTCGCTAAGTCCGCCTTGAACTTGAAAGCCCAAGCCCTTAAACCCAGACTTAGACACCAAAACCCCGCACCCCTAAACCCTGTGCAGGTCACTGCACCATGTCAACAATACGGAAGCCCTTGCGCCAAAAGAGGGGAGCCTCCAGAAGAGTGCCATGCTCGGCACAGGCCTCCTGCAGCAGGTACTTCACCACCTTTCGCAAGCCACGTCCGGCGGTCGGTTCGTGTCTGCTGCTTGGAGGCTAGGTTTAAATTACAACCACAAGACTAGAAAATCGAGCGAGATATAAATGCTCCGAGCAGCTCTTGCGGTTCAAGCTCTACTCAAACAAAGCTCCGTATCGTTTTGAAGCCTGAGAATTATGGTATCGGCAACGGAGAGTGTGACAGCACAAGAGAAGAGCGGCTCTTGCGATGGTGGTGGTGGTGGTACTGTACTAGTACGGGTACTGTCGTGGTAGTACTAGTCGTCGTAGCAGCAGAAGCAGTGTCGCACGAGTAGCAGTAGGAGTAGTGCCAGAAGCAGCAGTAGGAGGGACTGGGAGCAAGGAGTGAGCTGGTGAAGGACGGGGGTTAGCAGCAGGAGTAGGGGTTCAGTCTCAGTCGTAGTCGTAGCAGCTGCGGTTTCTGTTGCCGTTGTTGCTGCTGCCTTGCAGCTGTTGTTGTTGCTGCTGTTGTTCGTACGTCTGGAAGCAGCGATACCAGCAGTAGCATTGGAAATCCTTTGCTTTCTGGTGCAGTGGAAGAAGAACTCGACAGCAACACAATTGACGATCATCATGATGATCACGCAAAATTCTGATTGCTACCTCGGAGCTGCAAATGTATTTCCAACAGTTGCTTCTACGACTACACGGCGGCGGCGACTGTGCCGACAAAGTACGACGACTTCGGCTACTGCCGTAACTGCGACTCCTCTGTTCGCCCTTTGACAGTCAATTCAAACTGACATCAAACTACCCAGCCCTGCACGAAGGTGGGTGACCTGACCGAAACCGCCGTCTCAGACATGGAGCGTGTAACAAGAAGCACGTTGCACTCGATGCCATAAGGGGAAGTAGCGACTGAAACCCTTAAGTTAGTCTGAACCCTCAATCCTGACGCCATAAGATCCCCAAAACCCTGAAAGCCCTGCTGGCTTCGACACCTCCAGGTTACCATTCTGTGCGGCAATGTAAACGGCGCTCACGCCACTCCTCCCGAGTTTCGGCGACTTCCGGCGTTCGAGTCTGGGGCAGGGTTTGAGAAAGCACGCAGACCCACAGCTGGGACGAACTCAGCTGATGACCCCAAGCCTTAAACCCTGAGGACCGAAAGCCCTAAATGGCCCTGAAACATAAAGCGGCGGCAATAGCACAGTTGGGACGATACGACACGGACAGCGACGTGGACAGCGGCCGGGACAGGATCGGGAGACGACAGGGAACCGGCCGGCAAAAGCGCTACCCACCCTGAGGCCGGCACTGACATTTTTGTCGTGAGAAGATTAAGGTTTCCAACTTTTGGGGGTTTACTGTGCCAAGACCCCCAAAAATAGGTAAAATAATGGCCTAAAACCTATAAACGGCTATTATTCAACATACTTTTGGGGTCTACCACAAGGCCTTAAACCCTAAGCCCTAAAGCCCTAAAACCCTAAAACCCTAAACCCCAATTCCAACTTTTGGGGGTTCGCTGTACACGTTACACAACTCCAAAAGTCTAAAGCTCAAGGCTCGGAGCTCGGTGTCAAATGGGAGTTTCCGAAAATAGGGGACCCTAATATCGTACCAGTGCCCTGTGTGCTTTACATGGGCCTCAAAACATCGTACCCGAAAGTAGTAGGATCCTCATTACAAGGACCCCAAAATAAGGTATCCCTAATTTCGGACACTCTCAAGCACAACGAATTAACATGCAAGGCCTGGTCTCAACAGCAGGTCCCAGGGAGATACAGCAAACATTAATTACCAGTTGAGGTTCACAGGAGCCAAATCAAACAACACAAAACTAGTGTTTTGGAACCCCAAATGGCTCCACTGACCCCATGCCACATACATTCCAGTCCCCCTGCAAACCCCAACAAAATCTCCCTTTGTGGAACCCCCCTGTCGACCGACACAAGAAACTCAACCCACTATGTAACCCCACTAGTAGTGCACCCATAGGCCCCCAAAAAGGTCCTTTTTGGGATTACCTTATAGGATTCTAAATATGAACCCCCAAAAGGAGCTACTTTGGGGCCTTAAGGTAGCCCTGAATCCCAACCCACCATCCCGCGTCCTGAGGCAGAGTGTCACATTGCTTCCATGTTGCACAAGGGCCTTGACTACCTCCAGATGGTTATTCCTCAGCGGAAAGAAACTTCAACGTCTTAAAGTGTAAACCCTTCGGGGACCACTTCTACTCTCTAGAACAGTTCTGGGTCTGCCAGCTTTAAGGTTCAGGGTTAAGCGCTAAAGGTCCAGGGTTGTGTTTTGGGGTTTAGGGTTTCATAATTCAGGATGTTTAGCACATGATATCTTACCCTAGGCAGACAGCCGGCGAACTGCGGTATCGTAAGCTGCGCAACCTTGACACGGACCCAACTGCGCGTCTCAATACAAACTTCTGTAGGATCCACCATCAAGGATATGCTAGGGCGACTAGGATGACACTCGCTTGGTTAGTACTGCTGTTGAATTATAGCATGCCTGAGCATTCGAAAGAAGTTCATGCTGATCCAACGTCAAAGTGCAAAAACACTCCATAAGGCCAGGCTCTGCGCCGACACGAAAACCGGGCTGGCCCCGCTGTGCATGCACAGATCCTGCGTTTTCAGGGTTTGGAAGGCCTGACCATGCAGATTGGAATGTCACTCATTATCCTAACCATTTCTTTTTGGCGTCGGCGTCATCGGCATGTTCATCAAAGTACGTTGATACAAATATGTATGCTATATAAATAAATAAATAAATAAATATATATATATATATATAGAAATATATACTTGAATGTACAATCAAAGTAGGATCCACAAAGGTAGATTGAAATATGTCTTTATCATCTGGCCGTCGCGTTGATGTGCATGATCACTTCGAAGACAGAGCCCCGTGTGTCGGTCCTTCTTCGCTACATCCAGGGACAGCAAGAACCTGGGCGCAGACTTTTGAGGTCGCGTCCGAGGGTTGAGGATGTGGGGTTTCAGGGTTGTGGGCTTTAGGGTTTAGCTTTGTTTTTGGGTGAGACAACAAGAGGTTCGAGGAATTGGAAATGCGGGGGCCTTAGGAGTTAGAATACGGTGGAGTGTGTCACCTGGCTTGTGGGTTTCGTAGCCATTCTGTTCGCACTGCTACGTAGTGTAGCTCCCCAACCAGTGAAAACACAGATTTGAACAACGTAAGTGGCCAAGATTCTTCCCCGTAGTTCAGCGGAGCCCAAGGTGGACCATGTGTTGGATATTACTATGGATTACGGTTTCCCGGTGTTTGATTCAGGGCTTGTGCTGTGCTGCATCGGCTCCCTCCACGATTCCTTGCGACATCGGATTCGCGTTTTGGGTTTCGAGGGGACAGGGCTGCTTGTAGGGACTAAGGCCATCGGCCAGAAACATGACAATGCAAGGAGACAAGGAGACCTTGCACTGTGTCCGCCATGCGGGCGGTAAACTCTGAAAGCACTCCAAGCCTTCAAGCCGTAATTCCTAAAAACCGCAAACCCTAAAGCCATGAAGCCCCGAAGCTTTTCAGCTAGGGCCAACTACGCGTTACAAGGGGCCTCTAATATACAGCCCAAAGCTACGAAACCCAAAAATCCACCTTGAGCACCTTCGGACGCCAAAGGCTAGTCTTCGAGTGCATGCGCAACATGCAAGTCCACTGGATTACTTTACATTATCTGAGGGGCAAACAGTACTGTAAGGGAGAATCCAACTAAAGGTGTTCGAATGTACTTGTATGGCGCTAAACCGAGAAGGGTGAAATGTGCTACTGCCACTATAACTACGTGCCGGCAAACGAGGGCCGATAACCAGCAAGATTGTACGCTCCAAGCTTGCGCATAAGCTTTTCATCTCATCTTGGTGACCAAGATGAACGCCCCCCCCCCCCCCCCCCCACCTACCCCCCAAGTGGCGCTCGCAAGATTCGGTACCAAAGCTTGTGATTGGTCAATTCGGTTCATTCCCCATTAAAACCCCCAGCTTGTCATGACAACATACACAACCCCTGTCAATCAAACCCTACTAGCCTCTACATGCCGAAGCCTGCGGCAAAATGAAGACCAAACCGCAAACCCAGGAAATATGTTTCCGCCATAGCAACTTCACTGTCGAGAGGTTTCCATTTTGTGCCGCAATGAGCATTGGAGTGGCGCCGTCCTGCGCCTGTTTCGCGAAGGAAGGGCTGCATTGCGGTACTACTGCAGTGGTACTATACAACGTACTACTGTGCTAGTACACTGCCGTACAACTGTACTAATGTGGTACTGTACGACTGCACGGTCTACTGCACTACAAGTGTACTATTGCCGTACTACTCCTGTGCTACTGTACCGCTTTGCCGGGGTGGGCCTGTGCCATGCTTGTACCCCAATGCTGCCAGCGCTACCACTACCGCTAAGGCTATCACTACTCACCACTCTACGACGACGAGGATGACGACCATATACGACGACGACAATTGCCACTTCGATGCCTCATGCTGTTGCGAATTCAGAGAAGCCGCTTTCAGGATTTAAGGAACCTTCCCGCAACGGAAAAGCGGCTGTGCCTGCGTGTTGACCTCAGCGCCCCTTTCGAACAGCAGCTCTGCCACATCTTTATTGTCCTTCCTGACAGTCAGCGTCGTTCCGGGGCTTCCGGGGCCCGTACGGGTCCCCGAACCACCAGCACCGCTCGGGACCCATTAAGGGTTCCCGACTCTGTCCAAGAACCCGGCTTTGCTAGCTTACTGAGAACGGTAGAGCGCTTTCCAGAGCCTGCGAGCGACACCAATCATTACATCAGGGGTTCAGGGCTTCGGGTTTCGCATTTCAGGTCTGGCTTATTGCATTCAGGGTTAATAATATGGGGGCCTTGATATTTATGAATAGGGTTTTGGGCCCCTTGAGTATAATAGAGAGCCCCTAAAGGAACAAATATTGGTAACTATTTGGGCTCTTGTGTTCGGGTCCGGGTCTTCTTGTTTCACATCCCCGGGGGGCTCCCGAAGTGAAGAACTGTAGTCCACAAGGCCAAAGGGCTGCGCCGCGATGTACATCGGAGTCGCTCCCCCCGTGGTTTCGCTGTTCACGTTGGCTCTTAGGTCAATCCTCGGCGAGGAATGCTAGAGACAGGAAGCCTAAACCCTATTAGGATGTCCTTAAGGGGGGGTGGTCCAAGGGGGGTAGGTAACCTAGTAATCCCCATTATTCCCCAATACTCCCTAAGCTTCCCTAAGGTTCCCCAAAGCTCCCTAGTACCCTCCCCCCTTGAACCACCCCCCCTTAAGGATCAAAAGGAGGGACCCTTAGTAAGGACCCCTAGGTATATACCCTTAATATAGCTATTATATACCCATTATATAGCCCATTATAGGGTAGGGGTCCCCATTAAGGGTCCCTCCTTTTCCCCTTTGAAGGAAGCCTAAACCCTAAGCTGCCAAAATCCTAAGCTCCGAGACCCAATCCCCTTCAAGCTAAAAAGCCCCCAAAAACCGAAGCATCAACTGCTAGGCCACAGCCATATATATATATATATATGTGTGTGTGTATACACGCACACATGCGTAGGTGTGTCTATGTATGTATTTATTTCATATACATGCATGTATATGCATTTTAAATCCATCTACACTGAGTATATCTGCACGCATAATTATCATGGTATCCCCCCCCCAGTTATCCACCAGTTTTGGTGTAAATCCTGTGCAATCTGCCCCTGACCCCTCCCCCTCGCTTATCTACCGACTCAAAAGACAAGTACGTGTGTACTCTGAACGTGTGCAGTACCAAAACAATACAACAGATGTTAGTGTACATGCCTGCGCACCTGTTTAGGGAAGTGAGAGCGCTCCCGATGCATCCCGAGTATTGAACTTCAATCCCGGGGATTGAACTTCAATACTCCCGGATCCAAGATTCAAGATTCAAGATTCCAGGACAAAGTTTCCCCAGGATCTTGAATCTTGAATCTTGGATCCGGGGGTATTGAAGTTCAATCCTCGGGATTGAACTTCAATACTCCGGACTGAAAGTCAAACCCTACATACACAGTCCTGTCTCAACCATGTAGTAACTGCCGCCGCAACAACAACATCAAGACTGCAATAATATTGGGTAGTTCGCTACATATACACAAGCATGACCTTTTGCATTTGCGTCAGATACAAATGGATACGGAGTCGCCACCTACACAACACAATGCTGAGCCGATGATCTCCATACACAGATGTATATACACGCGTATAGGCACATTCCAGATAGCATTGAATGCACATGTATGTGTCCACGGAGTCTAGACACCTTCTCAAGAAGATTCCTAGAACCACATGCTCTACCTACGTCAGTAATATTTTCATTGAGGTGTTTGCCCAGTTTGCATAACATGCATATTTACACATCTGCATCGGAGTTGTTGTGGTCGTGTCGCACGTGAGACCTCGCGATATTGCACAATCATGATGCAATAGGAAGAAGTTCGCATTTGGGAAGTTAGGACGGCTAAGATGAGACAGTACAGAAAAAGACGAGCTGCGTCTATGCATATGTACCATGGATGGCTCCCATAGTAATCTCGTAGAGCCAAATGCTTTTAGAAATGTACCTGCGTCTGTAGTGTCAGTACTAACGTGCTTGTCCAGTTTACCTGGAATGCATATGTATTTAGGAGTTTGTGTGTGGGTGTCGCGAGACCTGGTGATATACAAAAGCTCGCATTTGGGAAGCTAGGATGGCTCAGATGAGACAAAAACACAGAAAAAACAGGAAGCTGCATATATGCATATGTACCATGGGCGGGCCCCCCATAGTAATCTCGTGCGACGCCGCCTCAACGTGTTTTGACATTCCTTGTGTTTCGATTTGGGGTGTATGTTTACTGAAATCGTCTACGTTACATATTTGGTGCCAATTATGGGTTGCCGCAATACTATATAAACGTACACATACACATGGAGTAGCAACCACAAGAGTGACTGTCGAATGAATTCAAGTCAAGGGCATTTGGCCCAATATTTCCGTTCTAGCAGGGGGGGTAGTCCAGAGTTTTGACAGATCCAAGAAGAGAACTCGATGTGCCTTTGCAGGGGTCCATGCAACTACACAAGAAAGGGTTTTGGTGGGATTCTATCAGGGCTTTATCAGGGTTTTGTAATGGATTGAGTGAGAAGGTTTCTGCAGAGATCTATAAGGGCTCCACAAACGATTTCTTTATGGTTTCTATGAGAAACCTATAAGTAGTGTCGACTTTGGTTGTGAAAGGGTTGCTGAAAGGCAATATTAGAGCTATTGTATATACGATACGTACATGTACATGGACCTTTAGTGTTTAGGAGCTTCAGAAGACCACGGGCCTCAATATAGAAGCCACAAGTAGTAGGATCCTTATCATAAGGACCCTTTAAGAAGGTGCGCTTGCATGTTAAGAAACCTCCAACTAGTTCTATGAAGGCGGCTCACCAGTACAAAACGCCTACCGTGAGGAGCCTTTCTATCGCATTCTTGAAGGTCAGTTCGTATCTGAAAACCCTGATCTTTCGGAGGGGGGGAGGGTAACATATATGGTACTGCCCTCAAAGAGCAAGGTTCCTTTACAATCCTACATTCAATAAATCCCTGTCTATGGTCTTTGGGGATTTTGGGAGGCATGGTACCGATCCCAATCCCCTCGGCGCAGCCCGGGCAATGGGCCAATTTGGTCATTTCCACCCAAAAAGGGTGGATAACCCAGGGGGGGGGTAGCATATATATATATGTGTATACACGCACACATGCGTAGGTGTGTCTATGTATGTACTTATTTCATATACATGCATGTATATGCATTTTAAATCCATCTACACTGAGTATATCTGCACGCATAATTATCCGAGTGCGCTATTTTCTGACACTCCCATAGTGGTATCGTGACGACTTAGCTTTCGTCTAGCGTTTAGGGCTTAGGATTTTTGCTAGGGTCGTTCCGGTCCTTTTGATGATGAAGATGATACCGATGGAGGTTGTCATGATAGTTCTGTGCACCCCGACGATGACTGGCATCACTGGCAGCGCATGCATGATTGTTACAAACAAAAGTGCCGTGAGCCATGCGAATCTTGCGAATCTGCGTGAGAATTTTGATTTTGCAGATTCTGATGGCTGGGCAGTTGAACCTGCTGTTCTGTTAGCAGGCTATGGGAATGGGGTGCAAGCATCAACCTGTTTTCGGAAACATGTCTCTCGTGAGTATTGTCATGTGTATCCCTAAAGCTCTAAGGACTCATATTTTAAGGCTTTGGGGCCCAAAGACCATACTATATAAGGCTTTTGGGCTATTTTGAGCCTTAGGATGATTATGCGGGCTGGAACATCAGAAGTCCGTGCCCGCATCATGTGGGGGGGGGGGCCTGAACAGCCGCATGATGTCCCATAGCCTGGCTTACTTGCGCTGTCCCTACTGACACTACGGCTGATGATATACATCCCTGCATTATCCATGATAAGGAGTATACCACAATTCCTATAGTCCAGGGTCATTAAGGTAACGCAGGATTTATATCATCAACCGTAGTATTCCTACCCGTTCTGCTGCCACTAGGACTTGACAACGCTCACTTCAGGAGATGCCGGGCAGACAGTTTTGCTCAGCTGGCTACACACGGCTGTTTTAGCAAGTGTTCATGGAGGGTTCAGCGTCCAGGATTAGGCCGGGGTTGCATGGAACTCTAGACTCAGAGCGCCTTACTTCCGCACGCCATCCTTCAACATCAGGACACCCACAGAACTTGGAACATCTTCGACGGACTATGCATGTGTCGGTCCCACCTTCGAGCTGCACCCGTCTGCAAACCTTTCCGACACCAGCAAGGGCCATGCCAAGCGTCAGTTTCTTCGCAATCTCCAGTCTCTCGTTCCTTGGAAGTGGTCACGGAAACCCATGAGCGAGATTGCAGCAACATGAGCTGCAAAGTTCCAAAACCCCTTAACCCCAAGGGGGAGGAGGTACAAACTCCCAGATTCCGAGGCTTTCACCAAGAGACTCGGCACTGGGTTCATGTACCGACGCTTGTGTTCGTGTGCCACTGTGAACCCAGAAACTGCCATCTGACATAGGGGCTGTACTGACACGGGCCAGTCTTAACAAGTACCGGATTCCTTGGGCATATTTCAGCATACTTACAAGAAGGAACCCGAAGGAATGCTGTTGCATACTATTCAGGCTTCTGTCTTGGGTGTATCCTTGCCACGCAAGTTCTGCACTAGCGAGCGCAGGCGCAGTCATCACATCAGCTGCATCGTCTTCGTAGAACCAGACGAGTCTTCTAGTTCCACTCTACATGCGCCACAATTTTCTGGACGTAAGCCCTAAACCTTTCGTCCCAGGCGCTGGGATGCGATGAAGAGCGGAGTGGCTCCGGTGTTGTTGGGCGTATCCACTTCGGCCTTTGCCTGGGAGCGCTTAAACCCTAATATTATTACTAAATACCAATACTAATACTATACGAAGGTTTAGGGTTTAGAGTTGCAGATTTCGGAGTTGGGCGCTCGGGGTTTAGAGGCTTTTGGCTTCTGCCGACAGCTTCGGCATTTATAGCCTTTCCGGAGCTTTGGAGTGAAAGGCCTAAGGGTCTAAGGCGAAAAGCCTTCAATTTAAGATGGGGCTTTGGGATTTCACGGTCTGAGAACTGAGCGGTGAAGAGTTCGGGTAATGTGGCTTCAGGGCGGGATGCCGCATCTTGGGATTGCCTTACCTTTGGTTAGTGGGGAATGTAGTTATAATTGTACCCCATTCCTCCATTCCCTACTAACCAAAGGTAAGTTGGGGGGTATGGTGTTTTGTCCTTGCAATTCGCGGGGCCGACTGCAACTCAACCTAGGGTTTAGGGTTCAGGGGTTTAGGGTTTAGGGCACCTGGCTGCGTCACTACTACTCGACCGTTATCATGATCACTATGATTGCTTTCCTTGCTGCCTACTGTCGGCACAGCTATTTTATTTCTATTCACATTAGTGTCTCAGTACTACTCTTAATTCTTTGTAATCAATACTGTTCTTGTAACTGTGACTCTTCTTATTGCTGCAATTACTGTTGCTATTGTAGTTGCCGTTGATGTCAGTACATAGTGCTGCTGTTTCTATGACTCCTGCTAATTCGGCTCATGCTGGAAATATTTGGAAATGCAACTAAACCCTAAACCCTAAACCCTAAACCCCTAAACCCCTAAACCCTAAACCCTAAACCCTAAACCCTAAACCCTAAAGCACACTCTCCTAAATCCGAAACCCTGAGTCCAAGTCTCGGAACCCAGATGCCAAGCTATGATTGTCTCATATGGGGGTTTCTGGAAAAAGGGGACCCGAAGATAGTACCCTAAACAGTAAGATCATTATCAAAAGGTCTGCAAAATAAGGTACCCCCCTTTTTTGGAAACTTCAATATTGCGCTTGGGGCCTGGATCAGTTCGTCCACGATCGCATCAAAGCCCATCCTCAGGCTACTCTGTCGATCTCCACCCGGGCGTACGTAGTGTCAGAGGTTAAGGTTTAGGGTCTTGGAGGGTCTCTATGGATTGGGGATCTCAGATCCAAAACTCCAGACCTTTTACCGTATAGTCTTTGTGGGAGGGTCGCATGTCGGGGGCACTGTACGTTGACCATGATGACGCTGATGTTGAGGCCTTAGGGTTGAAGATGATGTGTGCTGACATGCAGTGGCAGTGCGACTGATACTGATACGAAAAGGACATGGCAGTTTGATAACAACCTGTTAGTACATGCAAAAGAACTGAAAGTCATGCTAACTGGAACAGCAGCAACAAGACTATCGTTAAGCAAGCATGCAACACGAAACACAAAACAACATCCGTGTCCATAGTGACAAGGCATGCCACGGTTGGAGCTACCACCCCCCCCCCAAACAGTGCCTGTTCAGAGATCCGAGCGAAGCACATCACCAATAGATACTAAGTTATCATACGGCTAACAACCAGCAGCAGAGGCGAGAGCAGCCGGAACCCCAGTCAGAATACCGCTGCAAATCGCGACTCAGTACCGACAGTAATTTTGCCTAACACCCAAGCACTACTTAGTCTCGAGGCCTGATGTAAACCCTATTGAATTAAAGGACTGTTGCAGCGCTTTCTTAAAACCCCAACATCTCAAAATACAGCCCTCAAATCGAACAAGCAGCTGCGAGGCAATGAAGAGTGGCGTGGCCTTGTCTCTCGTAGCCTCGAATCGACTCGAGAGATTGTCGGATCTAAGGAAGAGGAACCAGGATGACCAGTAGCCTAGGAGTAAAAAGGGCTGCATTTTTGGTATTGGGTAACTTTATAGGGAACCTACTGTTGATGATATAAATCCTGCATTACCCATAATAAGGAATATACCATTATTCCCACAGTTTAGGGTCCTTCAGGTAATGCAGGATTTATATCATCAACCGTAGGACTACAAAAAGGGAATAAGGGTACTACTGGGCATCCTAGGGAGTGGGGTTCGGATCAAGGTTTCTGTTTTGAATACTTGTCGGGTATCATGGGGGACTATAGGTTAACCTTTGGGCTATTTAGGGGTTATATACGGACTATACTACCCCAAAAAAGGTTAAAGGTTACCTACTCTACTACTTGGTTTGGGTTTGGGGCATCTGGGGAAAAGGGGTCTGGATTTAGCATTGCTGCATCTGATTCAGAAAGACTTGTGGGCTGCAGAGGAATCACTATGTACTTCAGGCAACATCTGTCTGACCAAGCTGTTTTGATAGGCACCCGGAGAGGTGACCCAAATTGATGGCATTACTTGTGTGTTCATGGCTTGCTGGGGTCACACGACATGCTTTGAGGCCACAGCTACACTCCGAGCACCGCTTGGCAGCATGTTTGACTTCTAGATGTTAGCCATGGGTGTGCAGGGCTGGCAAGCAACACATGCCAAACATCATGCCACAAAGGGCATGTATGCCAGCCAGCCGCCGAACGAAAGCTACAGCTACACCTTCTGCCTGCAGGTGCTAGCAAGGCCAAGCATGGACACACTCAGCATGACACGAGCTTGCATTGCCTATTGGCTGTGTGGCAAGGGAGAAAGGGAGAGAGAGGAGAGAGTGTATAGACAGGGGGCAGAGAGACAAAATTAGAGATAGGGAGAGAGAGACAGAGAGAAAGAGCAAGCGGTGGGCCTTATTGACGTCGCATCGGTGCTCAATGAGGATTTGGACGTTGCCGTGGTGTCCATTCCTGGGTGGAAAGCACTGTTCTCGCTGGTGGTTCAACAGGATTGGGCTGAGGTTCATAGGCCTTTGAACACCAATAATGATCACCGCCAAGACCAACAACAACAACAACACATAGGTGGTTCGATGCAGGATAACTGGATAGACAGCTGCGGATTCTGCTGCCGATGCAGATACCAGATACGGATATAGATATGGGTACCGATATAGACAGAGATAGATATAGGTATAGCTATAGCCATAGCTATAGAAAAAGATGTAGATAAAAAAAGACGATATAGATACGTAACGACAGCGCCGTGGACCCAGATGGGCTTGCCACCCTCAGAAACCCTGTCAGAACTCACCTTGCAAACTCTTAGGGCGCCCCTGATCCCGTTTCAATCACCTTTAAAGCCGCCAAAGTGTCTGCGACGCCACATACAGCGGCGTTGCCTCGCTGTTGAGCGGCCGATCCTCATGCGCTGAGGGCTGAGGGTATACGGTTTTGAGCTTCGGGGTTTTTGCCTCCCGTTTAGCGACGAGGGTTCGGGGTTTTCGGCTAATCTACATGCAGGAAACTTTGTCGGCTGAAGGCCATGAAGCTGGAACCAAGACAAGGGAGGCATAACTAGTCTCTGTCTCAGTATCCCATTGCAGGAATGGCTAAGTCCCAAACCTAAAACCCTGAAGCCCTCCAAGCACTAGTAGTCTTTGGTTTCGGATGCAAGGCTTCTCTGCCCTCACGACATAATATGACGAATCATGGCGTTTTGGGGCTTGTGCTTGCTTGGGCTCAGAGTGTAGGGCTTAAGGTTTGGGGTTTAGGGTTTCTACTGTGTAGAATTGTCAACAGGCCTCTGATTTTCAGAAGGTTCTTGCAGAGCGATTTTGCGATCCTTGGTTTCCGGGCTTTCGCGGCCTCTGGGTCGGGGTTTCGGGCTCCGGGCTTGGGATTTTGGGCTTAGGCTTTCGAGCGGGGGGGGCGTGGGGGTTGGTGCAGGGTTTAGGGGTCGAAGCAGTCGGGCAGCCACGAAGTCCACCCAAACCTGCTCCTCTGCATCGTCAGGGCTGACGCCTGGGCATTCCGACAACAGCGCAGCAGAACAAGCATCGCCAGCACTTACACAGCACCTTGCACTCAGCATGGGGTAGCATGTATAGTGATGCATCTACTTGCAATAGAACATGGTACTACATCTAAGCATCGAGCGAACGAGGAAGAATGGACCGGAATACTGGCACTTGACATGCCATGAACCAACGAGACTAGCCTAAAGCCTAAACCATACAACCACAAATTCCTCGAAGATTCAAAGTTTTTCGTGGCCACAGCGGTCAAGGAGAAACCTGCACAGCGGGCGACCAAGAAACCGACGCCCCGATTCGGGGTTTTCAGAAGCTAGGGGACCCTAATACCCTAACATAGAACCCTATAGCAACGGAACATTTACTTGGAACCTTATATATATATATATATATATATATATATATATATATATATATATATATATATATATATTTGTAACCTGTAAAAGTCGCATACTAACCCTGAAAATCGCATACTAACCCAAAAAACACCCCAGATATGCCTTGCATGACAGGCTCCTTACTTGGGCCCCTTCAGAATGGTGCGTGAAAAGGAAGCCATCGGAAAAGCTGCTTGTCCCTGCGGTCTTACGGTTTAGCGTTTGTAGGATTTAGGGTTGAGAGGTTTACCCTAAGGCCCCAAAGTAGTTCCTTTTTGGGGGTTCATATTTAGAATCCTATAAGGTAATCCCAAGAAGGAACTACTTTGGGGCCTGTGGGTAGGTTTTAGGGCTTTCAAAACATGGAGGGGTTGAGGTCCCAGGCTGACAGCCACAGCTGTCACGGCCCAGGATGCAAGATAGCATCTGAAGGTAATATGGGAGTTTCCGAAAATTCGGGGTACCTTTTTTTAGGGTCCTTTTAATAAGGATCCTATTATTTAGGGTACTATACTAGGGTCCCCTACTTTCGGAGACTCTCATATATGGGGCGCAAGGAGCGACGCAGGCTTCTCGGTTCCATTATACAATGCTTGTTTAGGGACTACAGGGCTACAATACCAACTATTCAAAAATCGATATTGGACCCCCAGGTTAAGAGGCTTCATGTGTCAGGTAGAAGAAACTGCTGACAAAACCTTCAGTCGGGGTTTGAGGGGTTCAGAACAGGGTTTGGGGTAGGGTTTAGGGTTCAGGGTTAGAATTGAATTTGGCATTAGTGATCATTTGTGCACGTACCTCTCGCTCGCGGAAGCACTCCACGTGGCTAAGCTCCCATGCCCTGCCCGCCGCATCTACTGTCACGATCAACCCAGCACCGAAGAGCATGGTCCCTAGAAAAATATCTATTTGCATATGGGAGTTTCCGAAAATTAGGGGTACCTTATTTGGGGGCCCTTATGATAAGGATCCTATTATTTTGGGTACTATCTTAGGGTCCCCTATTTTCGGAAACTCCCATATTTCCCTCTTCCAAACGGGCCCCATTAACCCTAGTATTGACTCTTGCTCAACTTGTTCCTGACTGCTGCCTGGCACAGGACGCCTTTCCTTCCTGACAGGCCAGGAACAGCGGGCTGGCCCCGTGGTTGTCCTCAGTCTACTAGTTGGCTTTGGTTTGGTGAGGCTGCAAAAGGGAATGAACAGGAGCGCCCTTAGGACCACAAATGGCGAGCAACAGCAGACATGCGTATGTACATGCTAATGTCCACATGTATCCGGGCCCTTGCATGCATCTGCTTGTCTTCTTACCTACCCGTTAGCGACGACAACGACGACAACGAGAACAGCCACTATCGCCGCAGCCACAAGGGCCAGAGCCGCAGAAACAGCACATATGGGAAAGGACGTACACACACACAGACACGATTTTCAACGGTACCATCGTAAAACTTGGCAGCTGATCACTGGTGACAGCTTGATGAAGTCGATGATGTGGTCGATGGTGATAACGGCTGTCATAACGGTGAGGATGATGGTGCTGATGACGAAGATTACGATGGCACTGCTGCTGGCGATGGCATGAGCGGGATGATGAGATCGATGCTGATGGCCGCGATGGTTAAGGCGATGGTGGTGATGATTGTTATGCTGAGTGGAACTGCAGTCAAAATTGTGAAGGCATTGAGGGTAACTTTGACAAGAAGATCATGGTGATTGTGTGGTGGTGACAGCGATGCTGTTCATGATAAAGAGGAGGAGGGGACGGGCACTGTTCGCAGCAACCCTGGCAGTAGTAGTAGCAGTAGTAGTAGTAGTAGTAGCAGCAGCAGTAGTAGTAGTAGTAGTAGGAGCAGCAGCAGCAGCAGCAGCAGCAGGAGGAGTTGCAGTCGTGGTGGTCGTCGTCGTGAGGATAATGCTGGTAGCAGCAAACAGTGCCAGCTGATGCAGAAGGAGCAGCAGAGTCGTTCTAGTGGTTGCACTCGTAGTAGCGTAAGTCTGACCAACGCTTGAAACAGTTGCTGAATTCTAGTACAAGCATAGCCAGCGGGATCGATATCAGTGCTGTCTGGTCCATTTAATGCACTCAGGCTGAATGGTCTGTGTGTGAGGTCATCCTCACAAAATATTCCTGGTGCGTGCAACAGCCCATCACCGTCGCCAAACCCAAAAATATGCCAAAGTCCTAAGCTCCAAAACAAAAAGCCCCCATCATAACTCCAGGTCTCTGCCATTGTGAAGTCTGCTCTCGCCAGCTGCAGTCTCCGGAGCACTCTCAAGTGTCCGTTTCCTTGGAATCACAGAAGTGACTTTTGCAGATCTGGCATCCAAGACCCTCCGGGACACGTTTCGGGGCGCAGGTCGTAGAGAATGCATGTCATAGGATCAGCCTGAAGATGAGACAGCCCCAAAAGCATTTGAGACATGCATGTCCCGGCTAGTTCTAGCAGATTCCAGCACCGAATGTGAACAGATGCCCCATAGAAACCCACTGGATACCCGGTTTAAGAGCAGCCCGAACAAGTATGTATAGATCCTCAACACGGACACCTTGTCAAACTTGTGATCCCATTACACCATCTTTAGAACCATAATAAACATATTTGGTTCAATATTCTCTTGGGTTTATTTTGAACAAAAACTAAGAACTCCAAAGGAGACTACAGCCCAGGGGCGGCTCGCTTTGCAAGCCGCCGTCTCCCCTCGCTTGTCGCGCACGTTGGCGTCGACGGACTCAAGCTCCTGGTGCTTTCGGAAAACCACTGGGTTTGGGGTTTAGGGCTTACAGTAAAAGCCAGAAAGTTGGAACATCACTATCCTCATGCCCTGAAAGTAATGTATAGGGAATCCCAGCACTAGTTCACTCCTAGTTCCATGTTCCATCTTTCTGGGGTTCACTATAGGGTTTAGGGTTTAGGAACAAGGGTTCTATGTCTCCCTTTTGGGTATTGGGCAACTCTATAAGGAACCTAGGACTACAAAAAGGGAATAAGGCTAGTACTGGGCATCCTAGACAAGGGTGCTATGTAAGTTCCCACAAGGATACCTCCGGTGTTTAGGGCGCCAAGGCTCCCAGGCTTCGAGGCGTCACCTTCTTCTCATGACTATTCCTATCTTAAGCCTACTTGTCGGTTATCATGGAGGACAAAAGATTAACCTTTTTGGTTATGTAGGGGTTATCTAGGGACTATACTACCCAAGAAAGGTTGAAGGTTACTTACTCTACTACTAGGTTAGTCTCCATGCTGGTGGTGATGGTGGCACCGGGAGCGGTCATATCAGCAAATGCCAGACCGGATGATCAAATGCAACTGAACGCCAGAAGGTTGCTCAAACGAATCCCATTTTTGGAGAACAGTTCAATGTCAGAACTGGCTCTCACCACTAGAATCCACTAGGTACGAATATTCGACGATGAACTGCTGCGGACACGTTCGCATCAGATGAAGGAAACGGACGCATTGCCGCTACCCAGACAAGCCGCTGCATGGGTAGCATAAGTTGAACACTCTAGAGACATTCTGAGCACCGCTGTCATCTGTGTCTAGTCTGCATTCGTAGCTTTCCTGCTATTTCTGTACACTGCTTCACTACGTACAGCACAAACCCCCCCACCCCCCCACCCCCCACCCCCAAAAGCAACTCCTTGCCTTTTCCACCAGCAGCTCATCTTCTCGCTCAGCCTGGTGGGAGAGCTTGCTGCTCTGAGGCGTCGTTGGGTGCCACGATTCGGCTAGGACTTGTGACTGTCCTAGACCCCAAGTAGGAAACCCTAAAACCCGTAATCCCGAAAACCACAAAGCCCTAAAGCCCTTAGCCCAAGCCTTAAACCCTACAGCCCTAAACTTGTGGCTGTCCTGACGAGTCCGGGCACAGTGACGGTAATACGAACCCTTAACCTGCAGCCCTCCCATCCGAAACGCTATGAACCTCATACAACCCGACAATCTTAAGCTGATCTTTGCACCCTAGAGAACAAAGCGCGACAACCACTTCGACCGCCAACACCAAGAACACCAACCAGGGTTTAGGGTTCAGGCTTCAGAGGCTTTAAAGCTTTCTTTGGTGTAAGTGTTCGCGTCGTTTCTTGGGGCTAGGATGGGCTAGGGTTCAGCACGACTGGTTTGCGAGGTGTACTTTGGAGGGAAGCTGCTCGGTCACACTACACCCAGACTGCAAGCAACTGCACTTCCTAGCCTTACCCATTGAACCCAGTCCCTAAACCCCAAAACGAAAGCGCTTGATACACCTGATAATGTAGGAACCTGATTAAGAAACCATGGGCCTGTGTCCAGGTTCCTTATATGAACCCTACTAGTTTGGGGGGTTATGGTTCCAGGGTTTCTTAATCATGTTCCTACACTACTATAGTACCCGTATAGATCCCTTATAGTAACCCTTATAGACCCCTTTAAAGGAACCCTCAAAAGAGGCCCAAGGGTTTCATAATCAGGTTCCTACATTACTTGTGGGATCCTGCGGCAAAAAACGCCTATCTCACAGTCAAGGGGTGTCTGGAGACCCGCTCAAACAGGGGTCCTTCTAACAGAAAGGAAGAATCCTTGCATATCATCTTTGCTCCTACTATAGTACCCTAAAAGAACTCTATTGTAGATCCCTACTACATATAGTACCCTTAATGGGAACCCTAGTATACGACGGCCCCTTTCGCTTTGGAGTTGAGGGTTATTGGGCTTAGCTGCGTGGTAGCTTGGGGTTTGGGGCAATTTTGGGGCTTCGGGCTTCTGCTTGCTAGGATCCTTCTATTCAGGTGCCGTTCGTGAATTAGGTTTCTGGCAAATGCCCTTTCGCAACAGACCCGGAAAAGAATCAGCCAGCAAAATTCAAAAAAGTAGATGTACATGCATTTGCCTCTATACTTATATAACACATAAATACATAAACAAAACGAAGATTACAAGCGCAACACCCTTAACCCGAAGCCCTAGAACCCGAACCCCCTTCCTGTGTCCAAAAAAGAAACGACCTTAGGCCTTTTCCCTCTTGGTCCCTTAAACCCTAAACCCTAAACCCCCAAACCCCTAAACCCCCAAACCCCTAAACCCCTAAACCCTAAACCCCAAGATCCTAAACCCCTCAAGACTTCTCTTTGGGGCCTCGGTTACCTCGAAGAGCTTTGAAGAAGGCTCCTGGGAGAGAGTTCCGAAGACGATGAAGAGCTCCTTCACGACTTCAGGGGCTTTCGTTTGAGGGTCTCTGCAAGCTCTCCCTTTAAGGATTGCTTTGATTTTTTCGCTCCAATCATGTCAACTGGAACAGTTCAAGGCTTCAGGAAACGAGAGCTCCACGACGAATAAATGTAAAGCCTTAGCCGTGACTATAAATTGGTACTGCCGGTCTGTTCATCCACTGGGGCTTGAGAGATTTAAAGCTTCGGTGAAAGACAGACCCCAAACTATAAACCCCAAATTCCATGGATAAGTGAAAGATCGACCCCAACAATAATACCCAATTTCCTATATGCCAGTCCGGGGCTAACCGGGTCCTTTCCATTATGGAACCGGGTCCTAGGACTTATTATGTTGATGTGACATAGAATGTAGCAAGACATGTGTGTTCTTGTGGCTCAATGGAAGACATGCTGGACATGTGAAAACTTGTGTTCTTGCGGCTCAGTGGAAAAACAAAACCTGAAAACTTGGTCTCTTCCAAATAGAGATGCATACCTGAAAAACTGTGTTCTTGTGGCTCTATATGGAAGAAGCGAGATGCTGGACATGTATAAAAAGATGTGTGCTTGTGGCTCAATAGAAAAATCAATGCCTGAAACTTGGTCTGATCGAAATGTGAAAGCATATACATCGAAAAATCAAAGCCATACTGACATAATCGCCTGCCCCAAGTTTTGTAGTTCACATGGACATTAAAGTTGCCAAAATTACACCAGCGAAGACCCCAAACAGAATGCATCGAATCATACCGGTTCGGGTTGGAATGTGTTGGATCCCAATCTGGCTTCGCCAGCAGATTTTGCGAAGAAGAATTAGTCATTGGGCGATATATTTCTGCGAAAGAAAAGTGGGTGGTGGGACTCAAGAATGTGGGAAGGTTTTTGGGAGGGTCCAGGGAGCATCGTTCAGAGGATCTTGCTGCAACACCATGCACGGAAAACATGCGCATTTCTCCCGCAACTGCCGCATGGTTGCGGCCTTTGCAAAACAGGATACCTGGCCTCTGCTGCAAACGTTCGCGGACGAAGTGCAAAAAAGCTTGGTGTTCGCTTCGGTTGGCTGTCGGACGGGAAGAAAACGAGAACTTTGCCGTGCATGTTTGGCAAGAAAGGTAGGAAGGGATTTGTCGGCTTACAAGGCAAACAAAAAGCTCTCTTAACACGGAACCATTCACGTTTTCTCTGCTGACCGAACGAAGAGCATTGTCCACAGGATTTTGTTGCCGCAGCAACCGCACAAAGAAAAAATGCAACTTCTCCACAATTTTCATAACATTACCGTTGTGCAAATCAGGATTCCATGCCTCCGCTGTAGACATTGGAGGAAGAAGCACAACAGAGGTTGCTATATGGATCGGTTGGCTGTCACACGGGAAAAAAGTGTGAACTTTGCCGCGCAATTTTGGCGAAAAGAAGAGCAAATGGGTTTGTCGGTTTACATCGCAAACACAAATCTTTCTTTACGCGGAATCATTCACGGTTTTGTCCGCACACCGAACGACGATCCACGGGATCTTGCTGCCGCAGCAACCACGCACGCAAAAAACACGCACAACATTGCCGTTTTGCTTTCGCAAGACAGGATATGTGGCCTCTGTCGTAAACGTTTGTGGAAGAAGCGCAAAACAAGTTGGTATACAGATCGGTTGGCTGCCACACGGGAAAAGGTAGGAACTTTGCCGCGCAAGCTTGGCAAAAAGAAACGCAAAAGGGTTTGTCGGCTTACATCGCAAACACAAATCTTTCTTTACACGGAACCATTCACGGTTTTGTCCGCAGACCGAACGACGATCCACAGGATCTTGCTGCCGCAGAAACCACGCACGGGAAAAACACGCAACGTTGCCGTTTTGCGAGACAGGATATGTGGCCTCTGCTGTAGACGTCTGTGGAAGAAGCGCGAAAGGTATACAGATCGGTCGGCTGCCACAGGGGAAAAAGTAGGAACTTTGCCGCGCGAACTTGGCAAAAGGAAACGCAAAGGGGTTTGTCGGCTTACATCGCAAACAAATATCTTTCTTTACACGAAACCGTTGAAGATTTTTCCGCCGACAAAACGAAGAACGTCGTCCACAGGATCTTGCTGCCGCAAAAACCACGCACGGAGAAACACACAAGTTCCCCTTTACACGGAACCATTGACGATTTTTCCGCAGACAAAACGAAGAACGTCGTCCACAGGATCTTGCTGCCGCAGAAACCACGCACGGAAGAACACACAACCTTCCCACAACTGTTACAACATTGCTGCCGTGCAAGACAGGATACCGGATACCTGGCCTCTGCTGTAAACGTTTGTGGAAGAAGCACAAACGAGGTTGGTTTACGGATCGGTTGGCTGTCGCACGGGGAAAAGGTAGGAACTTTGCCGCGCAAACTTGGCGAAAAGAAGACCGCGCAGGGGTGTGTCGGCTTACACGGCAAAATACATATCGTTTTTTGCACGGAACCACTGACGAATTTTTCCACAGACCGAACGAAAAACTTCGTCCACAGGATCTTACTTCCGCAGAAACCACGCACGGAGAACACACACACACACCCACATAACTTTCCCGCAACTGAGTTAATCCGACCCTCAACAGCAGCACAACGATATTGGGGTAGGATCGCCGGGCAAGGCAAGGAAACCCAAAAGGGAAACCCAGCCCGAAGAGGAACACAAGCTGCAAGCGTACGTCTTTTCTCGTTACTTGAGCCAAAGATCATGTCATTGGCACATTAAGCTACACAGTCAGACATGTTACCTATACAAGGACAGGGAACGTCGTATTCGATCAACTAACTGTTACAACATTGCTGCTTTGCAAAACAGGATACCTGACTTTTGCTGTAGATGATTGCGGAAGAAGCACGAAGCAGGTTGGTATACGGATCGGTCGCCTGTCGGACGGAGCAAATTGGGAACTTTGCCGTGCAAACTTGGCAAAAAGAAGTGCGAAGAGGTTTGTCGGCTTCTAAGGCGAACGAAAATCTTCTTTTGCACGGAACCATTGACGATTTTTCCGCAGACCGAACGAAGAGCGTCGTCCACAGGATCTTGCGGCAAGTTTCCCGCTAGTGTCACAACCTTGCCGTTTTGCAAGACAGGATACCTTGCCTCTGCTGTAGACGTTCGTGGAAGAAGCACAAAAGAGATTCGTATACGGATCGGTCGGCTGTCGAACGGGAAAAACGGGCAACTTTGCCACACAAACAAGGCAAAAAGAAAAGCGAAGGAGTCGGCTTACATCGCAAACAAATATTTTCCTTACACGGAACCATTGGCAATTTCTCCGCAAACCGAACGAAGAACGTCGTCCACAGGATCTTGCTGCAGCAGAAACCACGCACGGAAAAACACACAACTGTTACAGCATTGCTGCCTTGCAAGACAGGATATCGGATACCTGGCCTCTGCTGTAGACGTTTGTGGCAGACCAGGCGACCAGAAAGGAAACATTAAGGGAACCCTGCGGCCCGCCCGTCCAACCCAGGAGCCCAGAAACGAAACATGAAGGGAGCCCAATAAAGCCCAGGTCCTTTGCCGCGGCGCACCCGTCCAACCCAGGAGCCCAGAAAGGAAACATGAAGGGAAGTGAATGGGAGCCCAGGTCCTTCGCCGCGGCCCACCCGTCCAACCCAGGAGCCCAGAAAGGAAACATGAGGGGAAGTGAATGGGAGCCCCTTCGCCGCTCCAACCCAGGAGCCCAGAAAGGAAACAGGAAGGAAACCCAATTGGCAGCCCAATCCCTTTGCCGCGGCCCACCCATCCAATCCAGGAGCCCAGAACGGAAACATGAAGGGAGGTAAACGGAATTGCCGCGGCCCAAGGAAACATGAAGGGAGCCCAACGGGAGTCCAGGTCCAACCCAGCAGCCCAGAAAGGAAACATGGGAGCCCAGGTCCAAACCAGGAGCCCAGGAAGGACACATGAACGGAACATGATAGCCCAGGTTCTTTGCCGCGGCCCACCCGTCCAACCCAGCCCAAAAAAGAATTGCAGGGAACTGAATGGGAGCCCAGGTCCTTCGCCGCGGCCCACCCATCCAACCCAGGAGCCCAAGAAGGAAACATGAAGGGAACCCAATGATAGCCCAGGTTCTTTGCCGCGACCCACCCGTCCAACCCAGGAACCCAGAAAGGAAACATGAAGGGAACTGAATGGGAGCCCAGGTCCTTCGCCGCGGCCCACGCGTCCAACCCAGGAGCCCAAAAAGGAAACATGAAGGGAGCCCAACGAGAGTCCAACCCAGGAGCCCAGAAAGGAAACATGAAAAGCCCAATAGAGCTCAATGCAGCCCAATGGGAGCCCAGGTCTTTTGCCGCGGCCCAACCGTCCAACCCAGGAGCCCAGAAAGGAAACATGAAGGGAAGTGAACGCGGCCCACCCGTCCAACCCAGGAGCCTAGAAAGGAAACATGAAGGGAAGTGAATGGGAGCCCAGGTCAACGTGAAGGGAAGTGAATGGGAGCCCAGGTCCTTCGCCGCTCCAACCCAGGAGCCCAGAAAGGAAACATGAAGGGAGCCCAATATCAATAAAGCCCAGGTCCTTCGCCGCGGCCCACCCGTCCAACCCAGGAGCCCAGAAAGGAAACATGAAGGGAAGTGAACGCGGCCCACCCGTCCAACCCAGGAGCCTAGAAAGGAAACATGAAGGGAAGTGAATGGGAGCCCAGGTCAACGTGAAGGGAAGTGAATGGGAGCCCAGGTCCTTCGCCGCTCCAACCCAGGAGCCCAGAAAGGAAACATGAAGGGAGCCCAAGGGAGCTCAGGTCCTTTGCCGCGGCCCAACCGCCCAACCCAGGAGCCCAAAAAGGAAACATGAAGGGAAGTGAACGCGGCCCACCCGTCCAACCCAGGAGCCCAGACAGGAAACATGAAGGGAGCCCAATGGGAGCCCAGCCAGTTTGCCGCGGCCCAGCCATCCAACCCACCGCGGCCCACCTTTTTCCTGAGGAGAGAACCCCAAACCGTACCTGTTTGGGGAAATTTTGAAAATACGTTTGTGCC